CGCCGCCGGCGGGTACGCGGGCTCGGCTGGCGCCAGCTCCAGGCCCGGCTTCTGGTCTGCATCGTAGCTGCTCTGGGGCAGGCAGTGCGGGGCGTAACCTGGAGGGGGCGAGAGGTGCGGGTGGGGTGCGGGTGAGGCGTTGAGCGGGGCTCTCCCCTTCAGGCAAGTCACTCCCCGCGCCCTCCAGCTCACCATCCCGCGGCAGCCCTTGTAAGGTGATGGCTGCTTGTAAGACAGCGCCCTCCGTGTCAGGCTGCCCGGGTTCAAATCCTTCCTCCACGGGCCACGTACAAGTACCCGCCACCTCACCCCTCGGAGCGCGGGGCCCAGCACATTCTACTGGTTTTGCGATTACTCTTCTCTTAAGCGCTCACAGCCATGCAGTGAAGGTCTCATCATTACACCCAGTTTGCAAGTAGCGAAACGGAGGCGTAGAGAGACGCCGCGGTCAGTCTAAGCTTACAACTAGTAGGTGATGGAGCCGGGGTTCAAACCTCCGCGGTCGGATCCCGAAGCCCGTGACCTCTATTCCCACATTCTGCCGCTCCCGTCCTGTAACTTCTCTGAGTCTGTTTTCTCATCTATAAAACGGAGCTTGTAATTGGACATCCCTTCCCAGGGTCGTTGGAATGACTGAGTCAAGTGATGATAATAAACGTCTATTAAGCTCTTACTGTATGCCAGGCTCTGCTGCGGTGCTTTACACATGCTAACTCATTTAATCGTCACAGACCCAGGGAAGTGGGTCTTATTGTAATCCGCATTCTACGTGTAAGGAAATTGAGAAAGAGAGGGAGCGCGCAGTAATTGCTATATAAATGTTAGCTATTATAATTATGCTTTTTACTTGCTTGAAAAAGCGACTTTGCTGAAGATTATTTAATTGTCTGCCTCCCCTTCTACACTATGAACTCCCCAGGGCTGGATCTGTGTGCCCATCACATGCCTGGCTCAGAGTAGGTGGGCGATGAATAGATATTGCATAAACGGATCCCAATCCAGTTAGACCCAGCTCGCAGGGTTGCTGCAGGATTTTAAAGGGGTCAAGTATGTGACATGTAGTAGATGCTCCAGAAAGGGAACTTCATTGTACCTGCTCCTTAAGCCCCTCCTCTAGAAGTTTTCCGAGTCCCCAATGAGAATTCACCTCCCCCTCTTCCTCCGGCCGGCTGGAGTTGGGCCGGAAATCCTGTCTGTCATGGATTTGAGTGATGGATGGGCAGGCTGGGGTTCTCCCAGGGGATTCCACAGGGGATTTTCGAGGGCAGGGGCCACCCCGGTTTGTTTCTGCCTCCTATGGCCTAGTCTAGTTCTAGCTCCTTCCCTGGGGACCCTGGGAGCTGGGCTCCCTGGAGAGTTTCTGGCAGATATTGAACAAACTTATCATCGTGGCACTTAATTACCAAGTGTTTCCATTGTCCTCTGATTCCGGAGAACAATGAAGGTTAGGCCCCTTTCCGAGGTTTCACAGCTGGGGAGTGGCAAATCGAGGGATCTGCTCCTCTCCTTCTGACCCCTTAGACATGTAACCGTCCCCCCTCCTTTCAGCCTCCCCCACTGAAGTGAGCAGCTGGAAGAGGGGAAACAGGATTCCAGTGACGTTCAGCCTTTTGGTTGGGCACTCTGGTCAGCTTTCGTTCCCTCAAACAGCTGGGTTGATTCAGCCTCCAGGACTTTGCCTTTCATCTGGCGTTTGAGATGGTCACAGGGTGAAGTGTGTGCAGGGTGCCCGCCAGTCCTAAAGGCGAGGGTGTGACCTTATTTTTCCCTCTGTCCCTTCAGTAGCCAGCACAGGACCCTCTGCATACAGAATGGGGATTGCGGGGGTCGTTGATTCAGTAAGGAGGGGCTCTGTGGTCAGATGTGGGGGTGGGGGGCAGTGGTGGTGGCATTTTTTTTTTTAATCTGGTGGGGGAGGCAGTGTCCCAATCGCTCAGCACCCCGTCTCCCCTCCCATCTGCCTTTGGTCTAAATGTTCCCCTTCCTCCCACCTCAGGAACCAGGCCTGGTGCTCAGGTCCCAGAACGTTCAGGGAGTATTGTTTCAGACTGAGTAATACCTGCTGAGCACTCACTCCCAGACCCTCTCCTCCTTCTGTATTTCCTCACGTTGTAATTACTGATGATAATACTAGCTAATATTTATTGAGCACTTACTGTGTGCCAGGCTTTGTGCTGAGTGCTTCACTCCCATCCTCTTACTGAGCCATCACAAAAAGACTTGTTGCAGGTAAGGAAACTGAGGTACAGAGTGGTGATGGTACTTGCTCAAGATCTGGAGCAAGGATTGGAACCCAGTGCACTGCTCCCCTTGTTCTCCACACACTGGGAGGCCTCTGAGAAAGCGGCTGTACCTGGGCTATTCACTTCCTATTCCCAGGGCCCAGCTAGTGGGCACTCAACCAGTATCTGTGGAATGGGCGATAAAGACCTGCCAGGCCAGCCTCACTTTCCAGCCCAGCAGGGTCTGCTATAGGCAGTCCTGTCCACCTGATCTTGGGACAGGTCTGCACCTCACGTGGCCTGGGCCCTGGGGCGGGGGAGGGCGATTTGGTTCCCTGACACAGATTCTAGCTAGGTGACCTTGGACAAGTTGAACCTTTTTCTGTACCTTAGGTACATTTCTGGAAATGGGGATAGTATGGGATCCATTTGGAGGGGCGACTGATCATGTGACCAGTGCCTTGTATGTTCTACTATTAAAGAGTACCTCGGTGCCAGACTGCTGGATTGTGTTCCAGCTTTACCATTCCCAGCTGTGTGACCTTGGACAAACTACAAGACCTCTTTGTGCCTTTACAGTTTCAGTAGGGAGTCCACCAGTGAACATACAATAAATAAACAAATAATAACCAACACTCCTAGAGCGCTTATGTATCAGGCACCATTTTAAGGGCTTTATACACATGAATGCATTCTACCTTCATGACTCTAAAGGTGGTACCATTTTACAGATGAGGAAACTGAGGCACAGGGAAGTTTAGTAACATGCCTAGGGTCGTGCACCTACTAAGTTAAAGCCAGAATTCCCATCCAGTGCCTGGCACATTGTAAATCACATACTGGTTTGTTGTGAGTAATACAATACATACTGGTTGTTATGAGTAACAATGACAATCTCCCCAAATGGGTTTCTGTGCTCCTGTTTTCTTAGCGTTTGCCCTGATGCATCTTGCTGCTGCTCTCTGGGCCTCTGTTTCCTCACCCAGGTTGTGTAATTTTTACCTCATGTTTCCTAGCCCCAGGGTGAGAAAACTTCTGGTGCCCAGTAGGAGCTCAGTGAACCAGACAGTTCTCACCCAAACTGGGTGCTCTGGCCATGGCGCCCCCTGCTGGTGGCCTGTGGCACTGCAGCATCTTACTCCTGTCCCTAGTGGCTCTTTACACAGAAGTAAAAGCCCCTCAAAGGCTGCTCATCTTCCTAGGGACAGATACAGAATTGCCTTCAGGACAAGGATTCTGGGCCCAGACCTGATGCCCAGGGGCTGTGGAGTTTGGCCTGGGTTGGGAGCATTGTATGAGGTGG